CACAGCTGAAAGGGCGAGCATGTTTGGTGTGACAGGGATTCGAACCCGCGACCCTCAGATTGCGAGTCGAGTGCCTTAACCACCTGGCCATGCCGGGCCTCATAAATAGAAATGATTTAGGACCTCAAAGACCCAGAATAACAAATAAATACAGATGCAGCGTGATAAAATTTGAGCATATGCAAAGAAATGGCTCAAATCGTGCCAGAACAAACTTTCCAGGTGTAGTTAGATCGAAATGCACACTCGATATACACGTGAAAGGTAATTTAGATTTTTAATTATTATATTTTACTGCATCAGTATTTACGAAAAAGAATTTTTGCCCTCTGTTTGTATGTTGCCTCGTCACATATTCAAAAACAACTTAACGAGTAAAATGATATAAGCAATGTTGACTGGCTGAATTTTTAAGCAAGAAAGTATTATAGTTCTCTTGTATAACTATCATCTTTAACGTTAAGTTTAAACAGATAAAGATGGATTAGAGTTAAGTTAGGTTAGCTTAGGTTAGGATCTCAATATACTCATTAAATACGACAAATTCAGTGACAAAAGTACTCATTGCCTTCATGCTTAGTATCTCACTCAAGCGACATAATTAGGCCTAACAGCTTCTTTATTCCATATGCTGTGCTTTTTAAAAGTACCTTAGGCTTAGCATTTCTCATCAATAAAGGACACTCATAAACATCCAAGCGAAGATAGCAATAATGCATGTGATATATGGGTAGTATTGCGCGAAATCCATAACAATAAAAACATTCTGAATGTCATGATTTACAGTTCAGCATTTACTCAACTAACTATATCTTACATAAGAAGTAACATTGATAATCGTAAGTTGTGTTATTCATAAAAATAACTTTTTAAGTAAATTCTTAGAGGCAAATTCTAAAGCAACTAAAACGAGGTACAGTAAAATTCCATAACAGAGGTATGGGACAATTATATTGAGGCGACATTGGGGAATCTCTCTAAAGTTACAGAAACTAGGCTTATCTGCGCTAGCCGTCCATAATTTAGCAGTGTAAGACTAGAGGGAAGGCAGCTAGTCATCCCCACCCTCCGCCAACTCTTGGGCTACTTTTTTACCAACGAATAGTGTGATTGACCGTCACATTATAACGCCCCCACGGCTGAAAGGGCGAGCATGTTTGGTGTGACCGGGATTCGAAGCCGCGACCCATAGATTGCGAGTCGAGCGCTCTAACCACCTGGCCATCATTCAGAATGAATGATGCTAAAATATGCATTTCAACTCTTTTTTTTTTTAGGGTAGAAAATGAGGTTAAAATTATCTTTCGATTTTAAATTAATTTAATTTAATTTAAATTAATAGTATCTTAAGTAACATACTCTGAATGTGGAGGGCTTCAACGACCACACGAAAAGCTTGCAACATAATCTGTAAACATACAATGGAATTAATCGATCTTACAAGAATGATTGACATGTGCTTATGTACTGGTATGTTGCAAGCCGTGATACTACGGGTGACATTTGATGCCTACATATTTCAGGTCATTTGACATGCAATGCCGCCACGATAGGCTTATCGCTGGAGACAATTTGTCACAGTCATTTCTGAGAAAAATATTACTATAACTATGTATAGCCAAATAAAGATTTGAAGGAGGGAACTTTAGATAGTTTCCATGGAAGCAGAAATATTCTCACAACAGAGCTTTTAGGACAGCAACAGACTCTGCAATTACACGCCAAGC